TTGTGAGTGAAGCGAGATATCGATCGGCAGTTTCATGTTACTATGGCAGATGTAAAATGACCGAAAAGAGCAGTTCTTGTCAGGAAATACATGTTTCAAATCACACTCTTTCCCTGGATTTTTTATAAACAGTTTTGGGGGCAACATGTCAATACTTACGAACACCACCGTCAGAAATGGCGATATCGTTTCGATATCGCATATCGATTTGTGACGCTTTTTGTGTCGCTAGCGACACGAAAGTGGGCACAAAAACGACATGCGATATCAAAACGATATCGTTACAATATCGCCCAAATTATGGTGTCGCTCCATTTCTGGCGGTGACAGCACTTGTGCACGTTTTTCGCCGATGGTCTATAAGGGACCATTCGCTTACATGACACGCAAATTAGTTAAACCTACAGGGTGTCCCATTCCCATTTATGTTATAATTTTCACTCAGATCAATGACAAATTTTCATCCTTTGTGTAGACAAAAATTCGTCTTTCTATTGGTAAAATTGGGCATTCGTATTTCGTGTGTACATAGTAGCGGGAAAGTCCCACACTCTAAATGACCATGGACGTTTTTGTAACAACTTACGGACGGATGATTTAAAACATAACTAAGCTAAATACCAATTTGACTGTTGTGTTGTTGGGTACAATTAATCATTAACTAACGACCTACGAAATTGTAACTTGTAGATATGTTTAAAAAAGTCCAAAGGTTGTTATCAAATATGTCCATGGTCATTTATAGTGCACATTAAACGTAACACTCTAGTAAGAGCGGTGTTATCTTCAGTTAAGAAAAGTCCACCAGGGCGGGCCGCCTAACAAGGACACCTTTTCAGGTGTAAATCTCCGATTTCGTTGAAACTTGGAAAATTTGAAGGTTATTCATGTAGAAATCGGATGGCACTTGAAATTTTTCCTGAACCTCACTAGGGGTTTACTTAAGCCTTACACTTTTTGTCCCAAATATCCCTCTACCGCCTTAACGGTACAAAATAGAGCAAAACGGACAAAATTTTGGTTCTAAGGGCGCTACTTTAAGGAGTTACCCCTTAAAACACTGCTTTACATTTTTCAAAAAATACCCTACTTCTACTCTCTATAGGGTAAAACTATTTGTGAGGTTCAAGAAAAATTTCAAGTGCAAACCAATATCTACATAAATAACCTTCAAATTTTCCAAGTTTCAACGAAATCGGAGATTCGGAGATAATAAGTTCCCTTGTAAGGGACGCCATGCAGGGCGTAGCGTAAACGGGTCTGGCGGAGTGGTGTGGGTCGCAGGGTCTGCACATCGGTTACCACGCCGGTAGACTTTTCTTATCTTAATATGACGTGGGTTGTTTCCACCGCTTCATCCCTTCATCCCTTTTCTCTGTGATGAA